ATGTGGTCGCTTCCCAGATCTCCTCGTATCCTTTAGTCTTCCGTGATTCTGCCATAATTCGTGCCTTTGTTCAAGGCTTATTTGATTTTTTCCAGCTCAGCTAATCATTGTTATCGCTGATTGATTCGTTGATTAGATTGCGCCAGATTTACGAGACCAATCCAGATTTGCTGATCATATACTGATTAATTTCTTTCCTTGTACATCATGAACCATTCCAGTAGTCTTCTTTACTTCTTGAACTTGATTTTCTGCACATGTATATTATTTGCATCATTAAAACATGATCTAACACATTTTGTCCATTGTACTTCGAATTATACTACTATGTTTAATGTCCCAAGAAATTTCACTGAGTCTCCACGTTAGGGCTTGGTATTTAACTTTTGGCCATGTTAAAATAATAATAAATATAGACAATCGCAAGAGTTTGTGCTCATCCTCCTTTTACTCCATCTTCTTCATAGGAGCCGTAGAAAATTGAAGACTCATTGCTTATTTGTGGTTGATTTTGGATTGATTTTGATTGAAGAAACTTGAAAAACACCATTGTTTAATTTTGTTGAGCTTGATTTTTGAAGAAAATAAAGTGGGTATATTGGTTATTGAAGGGTTGAGTTAAATCTAGCCATTGTGAATTATTAGGATTGATACTAGAATAGAGGATAAAATTTGGAGTCATTTGGACAAATTTAGATCCATTTTGAAGCCAACAAAAGTTGGTGAAATTTATCAAAAACTCCAAGTGATTAGCCACAATTCTGAATAATTTATTTCAAAGTTACGCTATAGTATGTACTAAAAGTGAGTAGCTTGTACTTTTGGCAAGCCTATCCATTAGAAACTAAACTAGCTCACTCTAAAACAAAACATCAACGGCTATTTTCTAACCAACGTTCACTACACGCACCCATTGATGGACCCGCCGGACGGCGCTGCTTCGACGCGTCTGGAAGGTCAATCGACTCCAAATTCAATGGCGAACCAACCTACTTATCTAATTGATACAAAATTGCCATATTCTACAAAGGTCATCTCCTCCTAGAACACTCCGAATCCTCCAAATCACCATGGCAGGGAGTTAGTCATTGCTACTCATACCATGCATAATGGAATACCGAAGGTTCTTTTCAAAGCAAAAGACTATTATGGTGTTATGGCTGAAGAGTGCAAGCTCACAATTGTTGGGCGATTCCTCAAAGCAAGGCCTCAAATTGACAAAACTAGATCAAAATATAAGGAGTTAATCTCGATTAAGGGCTATCACGATTAGGGTTTACGACAACTACAATTTTTTCCTTGATTTCACCAATGACGAAGATTTTAACTCAGTTTGGTTTAGAAGGGTAATTGAAATCGAAGGGCAGCAGATGTGGCTCCAAAAATAGTCCCCGGATTTCAAGCCTGAAGAGAACCTGCCCATTGCTCTGGTATGGGTTCTCCTTCCTGGTTTACCTTTTCATATGCACACATGGAACTATGTTAAACAAGTTGTGAGTGCAATTGATACTCCCCTTGAAATGAATTTGGCTACTAGAGGAAGAACAAGGCCTAGCATGGCCAAAGTCAAAGTAGAAATTGACCTGCTTAAAGACCAGCCAAATTCTGTTTATGTTGGACAAACATGTGACAATGTTCCTCAGAAAGATTTTGTGCAAATAATTGAATTCGAAGGCGTCCCTAAATACTACAAATTCTGTCAAAAGCTGGGACATAATATGATTAACTGTAGAGCACTAGAAAGGAAAAAAGATGCTGAAAATAGGGAATTGAAAGCTCAAAAAACTGTTGCAAATCAGAATGATGAAACAAAAGGAAATGAAATGGATAACCAACATGAGGCTTCTGAAAATGGAAGTTGTAAGCACGTGATTTTTTCCCTATGTGAAATACTCCTACAAATTAAAGAAATAAATTTTTCCCAGTTATTTGCAATTTTATAGGATTTTTGTAGGAATTTGTGTTATTTGTTTGCATCTCTATGCATGTTTACTTTTATTAAAATTATGAAAAAATACAAAACATACCATGCATTACATTTAGATTTTGTTTCCATGTTTTAGGATTAATTAGTTAATTAATTATTTTACTAAAATGAAAATCACAAAAATGGCTCATTTTTACATTTATCGTTTTTAATTCTTAAATCAGTGATTTTTCTCTATGATCAAGTAATTGTTAAAAATTTATAATTAGATAATTAGCCTAATTTTACAATTTAGATTAATTTAGGATTTTTAATTTAAGATTTTTAATTGAACATAAAGAAAAAAAGAGAAAACAAAACAAAAGAAAAATAAAATTGGAAAAGGTGGGTTTTAAGTCTGATTGGGTCAAAATTAAAATTAACCCAATTCCCACCAACCAGCCCAATTTCCAAATCTGCCCAGCCCCTCAACCAGCCCAAAACACCCTTAAACCCGCCCAGCCAACCGGTTTGACCTGCCCCCCTACCCTTTAATATATAAATCCCATTATAACATTTTCCCCCAAACTAAACCCTAAAACTAGAGACAAAATAAGCGGCACCCATCTCCTAGCTTGTTTCTTCCTCGCCTAGCTCACCCAATCTCATCTGAGTTTCATACGAGTTCATCTCTAAACTCGTCGCATGGCCCCTCCTTTCATCTCTCTCCAACGTGGCATAACCATTTCTGATAGATTCCCTCTCCATCACATGCCCTCTCTTTGTTTTTTTTCGGATTTTTGATCTTTTAGATGGAAATTAGGAGAAATGGGAGGCGTAGGATTGAGTGAAATTGGATCTAGTCCCTCCATTTGTCCGTTTTTCCATAAAAAAAGGAGTAAAAATCAGATTCGGATTTTTGGGAATTTTTGGGAGATTTCTTGGGAGGGAAGTATAGAAGGTTCGAGATTTCTAAGGCCTATATAAGAGGAGTGATATTTTCAAAGAGAAGGAGGATTTTTAGAGAGAAATTTCGGAGGAAAAATTGAAAGAAGAAAACTAGGGTTCGAAAATATTCTTCTTCTTTTCTATTGTTCTTCTTCATTTTTTGTCCCAGAACAGAGAAATACAAAAAAAAATATTGTTGAGTGTTCTATGATTTAATTTTAATGTCGATTATTGTCTAAAATTTCGAAATCTATAGAGTCTATCTTTTCATTTCGATTCTGGATTTTGGTTAAAATGAAATTCATTTGAGAAGTTTGAGTCTAATGCTGCTCGAGGGTTGATTTTAAGCCGCTATTTGTTTTTATTCGATTTCAGTTTTTGGGGCTAGTTCAGTGTTCGATTTCATGTTCTTTGACTGACTCTTCCTCTTATTTTACTCTTTGTTGTCATTAAAGTATGAGGAGGGCTTAGGATAAGCAATTAAGATTTGGTTTGAATTTCTAAAATGTTGAAGTTCGAGTGATAATAAAAGCAGATTGTTGGGTTTTGGATTGACAATGAGTTTGGATGAATTCTCCCTGATGTGCAAACTTGTTCTGTTTTTTTTGTGTTCAAGTGTCATACAAATCTTGAATCTGCTTGATTTTGATAGGTTTGATTTACGTTAAATTTGGTTTATGATTGTATGGTTTACATGAAGTATGTCATGTTACTGATGAAAGAGTTCGACTAGCTCTTTTGATATCTTTGTAAATTTTTCCTGCTAATGTTGTTTGATTTGCACTGGTATATGCAACCTATGCATATCTTTAGGTTTAAATGAATGAAATCCATGCTATTTCGCAGCTGTAGGTCCGTTTTGCTTGCAGAAATTTGAATGTCGATTCATGTTCGAGCTAGATTTAAAATGATGTCTGAAATGTTGTTCGCCTTTTCTGGATTCGAGTTACATTTTTGTGTCTTATTATATGCTCATGTTGGATTGTTCTGCTGAAATCTTTTGTTGTTTCTTTTCAGAATAGTGCTGTTAGTTTAGTTAGATGTAGTCTAAGTCATAAATGTGTTGCTGAATATTACAAGTGATTTGTTATAATGTGCATACACTTTGTTCATCATAAATTCATATCCAGGCTCATGTTAAACTTTTTGTTCGTTTTTTTATTATTTTGGTCTTTCACGTCCTTGGTAAAAAGTTCTATTGTTGCAGGCTGAATGGTCTGTATCGCTTATACACTCACAGTTGTTTGAGTTTGTTGGTTGATCTTTTTCATCATAGCTTCTGATCATATCATTAGCATGTTAATAAAACTTACCATGTATGATAAAACCTAAAACAATGATTGTGGAATTACTCCGATGAAAAATGACGTTTCCTGATTTTAGTAATTTCACCGCTTTCCTTTAAACCAAAGCCATAGAAAACATGTCTTACTTGAGTTTATTCTGATGTTCTTCTATACGTTTAGGCGTGCCTATAATGAAAAGAAGTCGAGGAAGCTGTATAAGGAGACCTTAATGTAATTTAGGAAAAATAATAACTCATGAACATCGTAGAAATGCTTTAGGCGCGATTTAATATATCATCATGATTGTGGACACGTTCGCGTGACATGATTACGATTCCCAAAATAAAATAGGAGTATCCGTTTGTGCAACTTTGACTAAACCTTCGTAATAATAATAAAGCGTTATTAATTGTAGACACGTTTGCGTGACATGATTTTTGACGCACCAAACAAATGGGTACACGTACGTGTGACCTGTTTTAAGATAATTTCTTAATTAAAAAAGGCAAATGCACATATGTAAGTAACTAGACAATTTTATTAAGCCAAGTAAGATCAAAGCGATCGTGCCAAAACCATGGAACTCGGAAATGCCTAACACTTTCTCCCGGGTTAATAGAATCCCTTACCCGGATTTCTGTGTTCCCATACCATAAAATTGAGTCAACTTCCTCGATTCGGGATTCTAAACCGGTGACTTGGGACACCATAAATTATCTCAAGTGGCGACTCTGAATTTAATAAATAATCTCATTTCGATTGTTACTTAAATTGAAAAAAACTCCATTATACCCCCTTCCGGGAGTAGAAAAAGGAGGTGTGATACAAATGCAATTAACAATGGGCGGGATAGAGACAGTATGACACAGAACCAATTGAAACAAAAGATTGTCAATGAACTCGAGAATCACCATCAAAAGCTTTCAAGCAACATCAAGGATAAATCCAGCAGAAAAGTTAAGAAGAGCAAACAGAGGAATTTGCCTAAGAATAAAGCTAAAGTTATATTCAAACCTATGCAAAACCTATCTGATGTCACCAACAGGAGAAAGAAGCACAACAAAGAGATAACCTTGGCTCTTCAAAATTTGAATCAGGAAAGTGATCATGAAGTGGCTGTGAATGATCAGAGGCAGTCAAATAATTGTGAAAAGAGGGTTCAATCTGGGAATGCCAATAATCAGGATACCTCTGTTACAAACCCAAGCAGGTAGGATCATAATGCATATGCCAATAACAGGGAAACCAACGAGAATCAGCAGGAGTCGATTCAAGAAAGTGATGTTCAAAATGGAAATGAAGATCCTAAAAATAGACAAAAGGAAAAGAAAACTCTTAACATAAGAGACTATGTCAATGAATCAACCAGTGTTCCTTCAGAAATTAAAAATCTTCCTAGGACTGATATGGTAGTTGATCTCAACATGGAACCCAATCCAAAACAAGACAAATATGTTACTAGCCAGCAAATTGAAGTGACTTTCCCTAATATGGTGACAATTATAATTCCTGAAGATCAGCTCCAAACAGATTTGAATGAGGGATCCTTTCAAATCATAGGTGGTAAAGAAAATAGGAAGCTAAAAGGAAGAAAGAACAAAAGCAAAGATACTACACCTCCTAAAGGAGGACACTCATGCTGACTCGAATATTGTTTCCATGATAGATGCAATATTTTAGAACATTAGGGGAGTAAATACAAAAAAGAAAGCCTTACCAAGGTTAAAAAAATTAATTACCATCTATAAGTGGAACTTGTTGTTATTATGGAACCTTTTGCCAGTATCAATTAAATTGAAAGGTGGAGGAGATTCCTTGGCTATCAACACCGTGTCTCTAATATAAATGGTCGATTTGGATCATGTGGTCAGGAAACAACATGACTATTGTATTGAACAATCACGAGCAACAACTTACTATCAAATTGCATTATGGGGCTGCTAATAGTGATCACGAGATTACAACAGTGTATGCTAAATGTACTCTTCAAGTGAATGGTCTGTGGTGCATCGGGGGTGATTTCAATGTCATTCTAGACCCAGATGAGAAAAAGGTGGCAGACCTTATAGAATGAGTAAAAGTCTTGAATTTAGTACTTGCATAGATAACTGTGGAATGATGGACTTGGGTTTTAATGGACCAAAATACACATGGTGTAACAATTGGGAACCAAGAAGAAGAATATGGAAAAGGTTGGATAGAGTGTTTATCAATGATGAATGGTCCCAAGTTTTTCAAAACAATACAGTCAACCACTTGGCTAGAATTGGTTCTGATCATAGACTGATTCTAATTCAATGCCATGATTCTAACCAACAGGGGCCTAAATATTTCAAGTTTTTACATTTTGGACTAACCAACTAACTTTTTTGCAGGTAGTTGAAAAAGCCTAGATGAATCATGTTAATGGAAATCCTTTGTGGAGACTTCAACAAAAACTTAAAATGCTTAGCAGAAGGCTGACTCAATAGTCTAAAGAAGACATTGGCAATGTTTTTGATCAAGTATAGTATTGGGAAAACAAAATTAAAGGCCTTGAGCAGAGTGATCTTATTAACAATAATGACATCACCAGGACTGAACTGAATAAAGGCCAAGCATAATACATTATATGGATGGGGATACAGGATAACATTCTTAGCAGAAAGCTAGAGTGAACTGGTTCGAGGAAGGTGATGCTAAAACTAAATACTTTCATAGCACCATTAGAGAGAGAAGGAGAAGGCTTCAAATTCTCAAAATCAAAGACAACAGAGGCCACTAGATTGAGAGGGATTCTAACATTGGCAAGGCAGTTGTCCACCATTCTCAACAGTTCTTTAACATCAATGATCAAAATATCAATTGTATCTCTCAATGTGTAACTGATGATGACAATGAAAACCCCACTACCATCCCTGATGCTGAAGAGATTAGAGATGTTGTTTTCAATATGAGTACTACTAGTGCTATTGGTCCGGATGGATATAATGGGAAATTCTTCCAAACTTGTTGGGATATCATTAAGGAGGATATTATTGATTTTTTTCAAGTTGTCTTCAATGGTAGGAGACTCACTAAATTTTTTTCTTATACTTGTCTAGTTCTTATTCCTAAAGTAGACTCTCCTAGTAGTTTTTCAGATTTGAGACCTATTAGTTTGAGTAAATTTACAGCAAAGATTATCACCAAGATCCTTTCCAGAAGGCTGAATCCTATCATAGGGAAGCTTATATCAGAGAATCAGAGAGGCTTTGTGAAAGGTAGATTGATCACTGAAAATATTCTGTTAGCCCGGGAGATTGCTCAAGGTGTGAACAAGAAGAACCGATGAGGCAATGTTATTATAAAACTCGACATGGCAAAAGCTTATGACAGAATTTCCTGGACTTTTCTGATGGTAGTTATGAGAAAATTTGGATTCTCTGAAAATTGGATTGACATTATCTGGGGGCTTCTACAAGATATTTGGTACTCTATCATCATCAATGGGGCTAGAACTATTTTTTTCATATCTACTCAGGGCCTCAAACAAGGAGATCCTTTATCCCCTTTATTGTTTATTATAGGAGCTGAGGTTCTCTCTAGATCTCTCAATGAGCTGAATGACTTTATTAGCTTCACTCCTTTTAGTATATATCAAAGAGGTCTAATGATCAATTATTTATCTTATGTCGATGATACTGTTATATTCTGTGGAAGAAACAACATGACTATCAAGCTTAACAAAAAGGTTATTGACAGGTATGAAAAGGCTTATGGGCAGAAAGTTAATAATGACAAGAGTTTCTTTATTATATCTCCTCACACATGTGCCGCAAGAATCAATAGAATTAGAAATGCTATTGGTTATATGGATAAGTCCTTTCCTTTTCCTTATCTGGGGTGCCCTGTATACTATTGGAGAAAGACTAACAATCTCTTTGATGGTATGCTCTCCAAAATTATCAAAAAGCTCAATGGATGGCAAGCCAAAATGATGTCTTCTGGGGGGGAATAATTTCGATCAATCATGACCTATAATCCCTTCCTACATACATTTTATCTGCTATGAATCCTCCTCAAGGAATTACCAAGCTCATGGAGAAGCACTTTGCAAACTTCTTCTGGGGCACCAATGAAGATAAGAATAAATATCATTGGTCTTCATGGAACAATCTTTGTCTCCCTAAAGATGAAGGGAGAGCTGGTGTCAGCAAAATTCATTGATACACTTAGCATTAAAAGGTGGTGGAGATTTAGAACTCAACCTTCCCTCTGGGCCAACTTTCTCAAGAGTAAACATTGCAAAAGAACTTATCCGGTGAACAAAAGGCTAAATCCAACTGACTCTCATATTAGGAGAAACATGCTCAAAATCAGGAACAAAGCAGAGAATAACATTAGATGGGAAGTTCAGAAAGGTAATTGTAGCTTTTGGTGGGACAATTGGGCATGCAAAGGTGCTTTAGCCAATCTTTTACAAGAAGGTGGGAGATAAGTACATGTGAAGCACTTCATGAATAATGGAGAATGGAATATTGGCAAACTCAATCAATTTCTCCCTGCTCATATTACTAATAATATTGCTCACCTGGAAATTGGGGATCCAAATGAAGACTACTTCCCCGTTCGGATTATTTCTAATGATGGGAACGTTTTTCTAACTCAGCATGACACTCTATTAGATTCAAAAAGCAAAAGAATGAGTTTATAAATAAAATTTGGCATAATTCTATCCCCTTCAAAATGTCTTTTACAACTTGGAGAATTTTCAAAAATAGGTTGCCATTTGATGATGTTATTTGCAGATTTGGTACTAACATTATTTTCAGATGTTCTTATTGTTCTTCTGCGCATGTAGAAACAGTGCAACATGTCTTCAATAGTAGTAAAGCTGCCAACTTCATATGGAATACCATTGGGAATACACTTGGAATCAAACACCAATACGAACATATTATTGCTACTTTCAAGAGATGGTGGGAGACATGCGCTAACAATAAAGTCCACAATCAAATTCTTCAGTTAGCTCACACGATAATATGTTGGGAACTCTGGAAACAAAGGAATGCGTGCAAGTGTGGAAAACAGAAGAAGTTTCAGTTGAACACTATGAGACATCAGGTCATTTGGACTTTAAAAGCAGCTATCTCCAACACTGTTCCTGGTGACTACACTCAGATGGAATAACCCTTATTATGTGATAAAATTGAAAGACTCTGACCATTCCAAAAATGGATACAAGTTACATGGGAACTTCCTCTACCTGGCACTGTCAATGTTAATACGGATGATAGTTTCTGCAAGGAAAGTGGAAAAGCAGGCATTGGAGGGGTGGTCAGGGACAATCAAGAGGATTTTATCATGACATTTTCTATTCCTATCAGTTGTGATAGTAATACCATGGCAGAGGCTAAAGAACCAGAATTTGGAGGGAAATGGTGTAGCCAAAATGGATACACTAATTTTTCTCTCGAACTGGAATCAATGGTCGTAGTAGATATGCTCGCAGAAGGAGACACAAACAATGTGAAGACAAAGAGGGTAATTGATAGAGCTTCCTACATAGTTAAACAAACTAGAGCCACTGTCAAACATTGCATCAGAGAAGGTAATCAAGTAGCAGATTGTCTTGCTAAATTGAGTGCCACCACAAATCGGAGAAAGTTGTTTCATTCATTCCAACATTTGCCCAACAGTGCAAAAGGACCTTTTCTCCTAGATAAATGGCAACTTCCTAGTATAAGGACAAAGTATGAAACATCTAATTTCTTTGTTAGCTAATTTTGTTCAGAGGTATCAGGAAGGAGGGTGTATATATAGGAACCTCCTTTTCCTTTTTTTGGGGTGATGGTATCACCGTTGTTGTATTTTCTAAGGTAAGGTCTAGTCCCTTCTTGTGTTTTTTAAAATACAGCACAACCTAGATGGCTATCTGGGCAACTTTATTTATAAAAAAAATCATTAGAAACTCGTGGTAAGTCATTAGATTTTATGAATAATTTGTTCCAAAGTTACCACATAATTTGTGCTAAAGTCCAGCTGGTGGGACTTGTGGCAAATTAAACTCATCCATCAGAAGCTCTTAGTGATCCGCCAGGATATTTTGTACTAAACTTCTGGGTGATCTGCCATGAGTTTTGGCAAGGTAAGCCTTTTGGCGATCTTCCAGGAATTGAATTCCATCTTATGATCTGAAAGATGTTTTTGCACAACTTATTTAAACGTGGTCAAAACTTAAATAACAGTGGTAGAAAATAGCTTATATTGTGTGAATCTCCCTTAATGTTCTTAGAACTTCTCTATTAGTAACTCCTTTCATTTATAGATATTCCTCAATTCCTCAAACTCAATCCTAATTCAGAGGGCACAATTATTAGGATAACAGTTCTAGTTCTTGTATTTGCTAAACTCAAGTGTATCATTTTTCCCTTGCCTCCGTAGCTCTCTCCATTTTAAGCCTCTCTATTGAGAATTTTCCCCTAATCTTACTTAGCTTTCGACCTTTTAACTGCCTTAAAAGCTATTGTTAAAACCGTATTGGATGTCCGTATTTTTATTCATACTAGTAAATTTGTCCGCACTCCGCGCGGTTAAAAAAGATCTCATCAATTCATTAGAATATTAAAGATATTTTAACAATGTTTTTTGTCTCGAAATATAAATAGATCATATTTCAAAT